GCAAGTGCCAAAAGAAAGAAAAAAGACTATTGCTGTTCTGCCTCTTAGGTAGAACTACTAATGTCTTATGTATCTACTCTTTTCTTTCCTATAGCATTCTGTAGCAAATTTACAATACTTAACATAAAATTTAGTTACATTTTCCTACTAAATTTGTAATAAAAACAATTCCCACATTTCAAAATTTTTGTGAGTTTTTTGAAAAATGACTGCATGATCTTTTATATTGTTGAATTCTTACTGTTGGAAATTTAAAAGTTTTTATTCTGGATATAAGTAATGTTATGGAGAATATCTTTATCTAGATAAATATTTCTGTCCTTTGAAAATCATTTCCTCAGGAGAAATTATTGGGCTGAAAGGAATGGATTTTTAGAATTTATTTTCTGCCTGATTATCACAGTAAGGTGAGTTTATCATTGGCATGTAAAATATAATAAAACTGGGAGAGGAGAAAAAGTGTTCCACATTGTCTGCCCAGAGGCAACTGATATTAGCAGTTTGACATGATTTCTTCTGATAAAGGCAGTTATTTTCTTCCTTAGTAAGACTCAAGGGTATGAAAATTCTTAAGGTTTTCGATAGTACTGCCAAGATTGCTTTCAGGTTTTCAGTTTATACTTCTGTGAGCGTATGAGTTGTGACCACTCTGAAAACACCAACGTCTAAAAGCTGTCAGGTAGGTTTGCTCATTTCCAAACTCTCCACACCTTTGCTGTGACTCACTGAAAGTCGATGATCCAAGGAAGGGCATGAAAACAAATGCTGGACAAATATGGCTCAGAAAACTCATTTCCAGGTTTGGATCTGGTTGAAGTCCATGTTTCTGAAAGTCTGCCTGTGTCAATGGTGTTTGTTGTGGGGTATTTGGGCGTGCTTGGTTGTGACAGGCAGCTATAAACATCAGCCCACTGGGTCGGCTTGATGAAGACCGGCTACTGGTCACTTACAAGTACAGATAGAGAAGAGCACACACACTCTCTCTCTCTCTCTCTCTCTCTCTCTCTCTCTCTCTCTCTCTCTCTCTCTCTGTCTGTCTGTCTCTGTCTCTCCCTCTCCCTCCCTCTCTCTCTCTCTCTCTCTGTCTGTCTCTGTCTCTCCCTCTCCCTCTCTCTCTCTCTGTCTCTCCCTCTCCCTCCCCCCCCTCTCTCTCTCTGTCTCTCCCTCTCCCCCCTCCCTCTCCCTCTCCCTCTCTCTCTCTCTCTCTGTATCTCCCTCTCCCTCTCCCTCCCTCCCCCCCCTCTCCTGTCTCTCATCCTAGTTTTGTTCTTTCACCAAGCACACTTGTTCCCTGGCTGAGAGTGCTGTGTTGTGAGGCTGGTAGAATTTTCAGATGAGGCATGACTGGTGGAAGCAGATCACTAGCAGAAGGCCTATGGTTCTGGCAGCTATCTACTTCCTGTCCATTGCCATATGAACAGCTACTACCACACACCATAACCTTGCTGCTCTGGACTGAGGTGTTCCACCATGGCTTCTATGTCAAGATGGACTGAAATCATGAACCCCAAACAAACCTTTCCACCCTCAAGTTGCTTCTGCCGCCTACTTTGCTCAGTGCAATTAATTAATTAAAAGGAAATTAATACACACAGGATTCCAAAATTTCCTCGTAGAAGGTTCATGCTTTTTTTTTTTTTTTGTATTTACGAGACAGGGTTTCTCTGTATTGTTTTGGAGGCTGTCGGTCCAGCCTGGCCTCGAACTCACAGAGATCTGCCTGCCTCTGCCTCCCGAGTGCTGGGATTAAAGGCGTGCGCCACCACCGCCCGGTGGTTCATGCTTTTTCTAACAACCTTACATGTTAATTATTACAAGTCTTACATGTTAACTATTCTCTATAAAACACATCCAACCCCTGTTAAGAAAGTTTTCTTCTTTGGCTTCTCTTTTCAGACATCTTTCAACAATTCGGCAGTTATTAGCTGAGTTCTAGCATGGGCCAGGCACTTTAGTAAACACTGGGGATAGAAGGCTGGTGTAGACAGCTTAGGACTCTCATGCTCACAGATGTATGGAAGGAAGCACCAGGATGACAAGGGAAAGTGGGAAGATCTTCATCAGAGACGGAGCCACATTCTCTTCAGGTGGTAGGGAAGCTTCCAAAAGCAGCGTGCAATGTGAAGGAGGACTAGAAATCGCATCCACTCACCCAGAAACAGTGCTGGATAAGAGACAGAAACTTGAGGTTTTAGGAAATGGATGAGGTTTTATTGGGTGACTTTAATACCAGTATCAGACAGTACCAGGCTGAGGATGTAAAGGAAGGAAGCCAAGGCTAGATTTTAGAGGCGCTCTGTGACCTACAGGCATTAGAACTTGTTTTGCAATGTATGTCTGGAAAGATCTCTAACCAGCAACTGGCATCTGCAGACCATTGTGGGACGGGGGAGCACTACTTCCATGTGCAGGGTACCAATGTAGGCAAAGGGAGGAAGCTGGGTTGAAAGTGACTAGGAGGCAGCTGCAAGTTTGAGACACCCAGGAAAGAATGGTGAGATGACCATTCACAAAAACCCAACACCAGACATGAGGAGCAATCTTCTGAGTTGTTGGACAGGACTGCCCAACAGACTCCCCAAATCCACAGCCGATTGCTGTTGTCCTTGGTTATGCCTAGAAGTGGAAGGAAATCCCCATTGCTGAAAATATCATGCATTTCAGACACAGGACCTAGGAACCCCGGAGCAGGAACTGACTTGAAAGCACCCTCCCTGAGAACTAGCTTTCATGGTGCCAGAAGTTTCCAAGCAAGCTTCAGAAGGAAGAAGGCAACCAGCCTATACAGTCCTACCCATCTAAGATGCCTATGAACCACATCAACAATCGGCATGGCACAATAGCTCCAGTCCTTCTCTAATTGGACTAAAGACCTGCTCAACAATAGGGAAACACCGTGTCCCTACTAGGAATCTAGCTAACTAGTTAGAGCTAGTGAAGTACTGGTTATTGGAGGAGAATCTACAACCATTAATTTACTAAACCAGCATATTCCCTAACAGCAATCTATAAACATCTGCTCTCTCTCTCTCTCTCTCTCTCTCTCTCTCTCTCTCTCTCTTTTTAAGACAAGGCGACAGGGCTTCTCTGTGGCTTTGGAGGCTGTCCTGGAACTAGCTCTTGTAGACCAGGCTGGTCTCGAATTCACAGAGATCCGCCTGCCTCTGCCTCCCGAGTTCTGGGATTAAAGGCGTGCACCACCAGAAACATCTGCTCTTATACCCACAGATAATGCAGTCTTCATCCTTCATCAATAAAACTTCTCTTTGCAGCGGACAGAGACCACTACAGAAAGCCACAACCAATCAAATGCTGTTTTGGATCTCAGTCCCAATAGGTACATATACAACATACCCCTGCACCTAAAGCTCAGAAAATATTATGGGAAAATTATCAGAGCCAGAGGTCAGGGAATTTGCTTGTGAGATGATGTCTCTTAGTAGTTTCAGAAACTGCACTCATAAAATCTCACCCCAAGGGTGATCTGAACAAGGATAACACCAATGAACACACCAAACTGAATGAGGAAAAGCCCATGAGATTTCAACCCCATACAGAGATCTATAGGTAACTATAGGTAACTGAGGAAAATTGGGAACAGGAGAGGAGGTCTTCCCCAGGGAGGAGTATACCAAGGGGGGAGTATACCAATTGGTTGTCCAGTGCCAAATCGTCAGCCCTGAGAACATACATACAGGTAGCATTACATGGACTGAACAGGTCATGTTTAGGAGCAATATATATATATATATATATGTATGTATGTATATATAATATAAAATAACAATTAGTAAAGAGAGAGAGTGCATGAATTTGAAGGAGAGTGGGTGGGGAGGGACACATGGGAAGCTTTGGAAGGAGGAAAAGGAATGGAAAATGTTGTAACTGAATTACACAAAAGGGGGTTATTGGTGATAGAATCCATAGAATTGGCTGAGAAGTATAAAAGATCAGCTTGGGCAAGTAAATACATCATTGTGCTACTAGCACAAAAGACAGAAAGATTTTATCTCACAATTTCAGCTCCTCTGGTCCAAACTGGTCATTTAGACTCAACTTAGAGACCCTTTCTTGCTCAACCCTTGTATTTTCATCTCTTTGGAGAACATTCCCTTTCTAGAATAATCATCGATTCATCAGTGGACACTGCTTCCTAAGCAGGAGGTTATCATTTCACACATGCTAGTTCTGTTTTCTATAGAGGATTGTAGGGCTGTTCACAAGATCTCAGGTTTCTCTGATATTCATCTCATTCTCTATCTCAGAGATGGGGATTTGCTCAGTCCACTAGGCTGTAGGGGCTGTTGCAGTAGTTACCAATGGAAACTTATTTACTTATTTTTTTGTATCTTACAGGTTTGAGTGTTTGACCTGCACATTGTGGCACATGTGTGTCTGGTGCCTGTGGAGACCAGAAGAGAGTGTCAGAATCCCTGGAAGAGGAGTCACAGACGGTTGTCAGTCATAGCCTGGGTGCTGAGAGCCAAACCCAGCTTCTCCAGAAGGGCTGCTAGTGCTTGTTAAGCAGCAAGTCTGTTACTAGGTTCTTTCATTCTTCCTACTGTGAGAAGAAACCCCAAGAAGCTGCTTTGTAGAGCCTCATAAGACACCATTTGAAAAACTGGGGTCCGGACATGGTTGTAGAGTCACATAGACATGTATTCGAACCTCCTCACTAGATTATAGTTGGTTTTGTTAATGATAATGAGACACTTGCTAATTGACCAAGTGTCTGATCGTTACAGAGTTGGTACTTGATTGCTATAATAAATGTATTGACTCCCAGAGTAAGAAAAGGCAGAGTTTGGGTGAAGTTAGGGGTATGCTTAAGACCAGGAAGAGGGCCCATTTTGTCTGCTGTTCCATCCCCTCCATGTAGGCACGATCACCTGCCTTTTCATGAAGTCTATCAATATTTAATGTGCGGGTGTCAGTTGCTGTAATTGAGCGTCCTCCAGAACCAACTTGAATTAATCATATGCTGGAGGAGAGAAAATACAATGCCCCTTTCTCAGAGCTGGGTTCCACTGGCTACTTGGAAGCCTGGAAACCGCAGCGAGAACTTTCTGCTGATGGAGGACCCCGACCAGAAACTGACGCAGAAGAGCGACGACAAACCCAGGAAACTGACGCAGAAGAGCGACGACAAACCCAGGAAAGTACGCTTCAAAATCTCCTCTTCCTACAGTGGCCGAGTGTTGAAGCAGGTCTTTGAGGATGGGCAGGAATTAGAGTCACCCAAAGAGGAATACCCTCACAGTTTTCTGCAGGAGGCCCTTGAACCAATGGATGGTGTTCGTGGGTCAGGAGAGGTCCCCAAGCCCCAGCTGTACTCCCCTAAACTGACCGCTCAGAGGATCAGTGTGTTCCGAGACAGCAGTGCCTATGCTCTGGCGGGCAGCCAGCCTCTGTTCAATGACTACAAGGCAAACGACCATAAGGTTGGTATTGTGTGAGGTTATGGGCTTTTAGGGTAGGCTCCTTGAAGTATGTCTAGCAAAAATGCCAAAGTGCTTCTTCAAATACGCCTCTCTCAAGTTCAGCTACCGGCCAGAACTATAGGTGCATCAAATGGGAGCTGTTTCTCAGACAAAAATAACACGCAGGTTGACTACTCATTGGAAAGTGTGGCGAGCACACCGCAGCATTCAAATTCCATCCAGGATAATACACTATAATTGGGTCTTTGGCTGAGTTTTCTCCGTGTGTAAATTAAATAGAGGTGCAGTGGTTTTCAGGTTGCCAGCCTGGCATTTTAGAGAGTTATGCAGCAGTAGGTCATTTCCTTTCCTGAAAGAATTGAATATTTGAAGGCACCCATTTGCTCCAGCCAATTACTCTGCTGTATTTTATCCGTGTCCTGCTTTTTCTCCTTATCACCTTCCGACTGCCTGCTTTTTGAAATTGTTGGTCTATTTATTTAGTTTTGCCTTCCCAGTGCTCATTAATGCAAACACTGGGTAGCTGGAATCCTGGGAAGAAACGATGAAAAGTAAATCAAACAAAGGAAGTGTTTCTTGGAGAAGAAGTTTGAACTAATAGTTCCATGACGCAAACTCTTCGAATGGGTTTCCTTAGCGTCTCTGGTATGGTGGATAATCAGAAGCCCCTCCAGGAATCTATTTTAAGCTAAAACAACATGAGAAATTCTCAACAATTTCCAGAATCTTAGGAGATGGGTTTGTGTTCATGGCAGTGGAAGTATGAATACTGTTTCTCTTAAAGAGTACATATAAGTAATGCATCTAAGTTATTAGTGGTAACCATATCATGATATGTCCTCATCTTGGACATATTTTTTCAGATAATTGTTTTTTAATCACTTTTATTGTTCATTTCCTAAGAAAATGGGTATTGCAGGCAAATGTTTTGGACTTGTGATAATGGCGAAATTGCAATATTCACAGTTATCATTTTTGTATAAAGGGGTTGAGAAGCTGGGTGGTGGTGGCACACACCTTTAATCCCAGCACTCAGAAGGCAGAGGCAGATGGATCTCTGTGAGTTCAAGACCAGCCTGGTCTACAAGAGCTAGCTAGTTTCAGGACAGCCTCCAAAGCCACAGAGAAACCCTGCCTCGAAAAACCAAAAAATAAATAAATAATAAAGGGGTTGAGAATGAAAATCCCTTATGTTGGTGAATATTTCATGCATATAAAGTGTCGTCATGAATTGTCTTCTATGTCCCTCATGTTCTTTTTTTTTTACTACATTTTTAGGGAAAAAGGCAAGGTATGTCATTTCTATTTTGTGAAGGAGGAAAATTATGTGACAAGTTGATTAAAGGTCACATGTCATTATAGGGACCTAAGGTGCTGAGTCCGAATATGAATCTGGATCCCCTGGTTTTCCACACTTTAATCTCTATGGCAAATTCCTTTTTTTAAATTTAAATTTAAATTAGAAACAAGGTTGCTTCACATGTCAATCCCAGCTCCCTCTCCCTTTCCCTCTTCCCATGCCCTCCCCCAATTCCCACTCCTTTCCCCAGGGAAGGTGAGGCCCTCCATGGGGGGTATCCATAGTCTGTCATTTCATCCAGAGTAGGGCCTAGACCCTCCCCCAAAAGTCCAGGTTGAGAGAGCATCTCTCATTGTAGAATAGGTACCCAAAGTCCATTTGTATGCCAGGGATAAATACTGATCTACTAGACAAGGCCTCATAGATTGCCTAGGCCTCCTCACTGACACACACATTCAGGGGGTCTGGATGAGTCCCATGCTGGATTCCCAGCTATCAGTCTGGGGTTCAAGAGCTCCCCCTTGTTCAGGTCATCTGTTTCTGTGGGTAAAACAAGCCCAGTCTTGATTCTTATGCTCAACACTCCTCCCTCTCTGTCACTGGGTTCCTTGAGCTCAGTTCAGTGTTTAGCTGTGAGTATCTGCCTCTGCTTCTATCAGTCATTGATTGAAGGTTTTGTTTCCCAGACTTTCTGGCAGTGGGATTATAGGCTGGCACTCCCCTGATCCATGTCTAAAATCTATATATGAGTGAGTACATACTGTGTTTGTCTTTTTGTGACTGGGTTACCTCACTCAGGATGGTTTCTTCTAGTGCCATCCATTTGCCTGCAAATTTCAAGATTCTGTTTTTTTTTTCCGCTGAGTAGTACTCGATTGTGTAAATGTACCACATTTTCTCTATCCACTCTTCAGTTGAGGGGCATCTAGGTTGCTTCCAGGTTCTGGCTATTACAAATAGTGCTGCTATGAGTACAGTGGAACAGACATCCTTGTTGTATGAATGTGCATCTTTTGGGTATATGCCTAAGAGTGGAATTGCTGGGTCTTGTGGTAGGCTGGTTCCCATTTTCCTGAGGAATCTCCATACTGATTTCCAAAGTGGGTGTACGAGTTGGCACTCCCACCAGCAGTGGAGGAGTGTTCCCCTTTTACCACATCCTCTCCAGCATAAACTGACATTGGTGTTTTTTATTTTAGCCATTCTGACAGGAGTAAGATGGTATCTCAGAGTTGTTTTGATGGCAAGTTCCTTTTTAATGAACAAGATCATTACATGGCAATGATGGTGATGAAATTTGCTATTTATTCGTGTCCTAGGTACTTAGCTATGTTTTGTGCTTCCAGTAGTCCTTTGTAACTGTATCTTATTTGGAAGTTGAGATTTAATAAAGGCATAGTTCACACAAGCCATAATAGATAATTTAAGCTGCTTCATAACTCATATGCCAACTTCGGCACATGTAACAATGTCTTGACATAGACTTACAAAACCAGACTAAAACATAAACATTCCAGAGGCCATGTTGAAAGCTAGATACATTGTTTTCTCTGTTGTTCTACCAAAGGCCACATTCCACCCTCATCAAGCTCTGAGTATGATGGGGACCACGATGGACGTGTGCCATCTGCCTACAGAATCAGTTCAGAGTGGTATTCACTTAAAAACAAGGAAACAAGGTGTAGCTTCATGACTTCCCAAGGGCAGCTGTAAATTAACCCCTCATAAATTTTTCCTATGATAGCATGATGAGTTGTGGTCAAGCGCAGTGATTCCCCTAAGCATTTGGAACTTAAACAGACATTTGTATGCCATTATTTACAGAAATTGACAAGCAATTAAAGGTGGGAACAAATGTTCACCAGTTGATGAATGGCTATACGACACGTGGTACATACATACAATGGAGTATTACAACACCTTAGGACACCTTGCTTTGCTTCAGCATGTACGAAGCTTGAGCACATCAGGCTAAATGAAATAAGCCATGCACAATCAGGTAAACCCGTACCATTGCAGCTACACAATGTGCTTATGGCGCAAATCAATGGAGACAAAAAGTAAATGGTGGCTGTCAGGCTAGGGGTGGAGAAGAAGATGCTGCTGTTTATGGGCTCAGCTTGGGAAGATAAAGTTCTGGAGATAAGTGTGGTACAACAGTGTGAATACTAGGGAACTCTACACACACAAATGGTTAAAATGGGAAATTGTATTTTACACGTACTTTACTCTAATTGCAATAACAATAACAAAACGTGGGCTCTGATGCCTGTTAAAGTCCAGGACTACCCACTTCCCTGTGTGTTTGGACGAACTCACTTTGTTGAGCCCCAACGTCATCATCTTAGTCTGAGAATAACAGAAGTACTTTCTTAGGAAGGCCATTAAGATTATTAAAATAGATGATTCCTGCAAAGTGCCTGGCACCCTATATATGTTTAGTTGTTTTTACGGAAATGTTGAATCTACCTTTTATTTTTTGTGATGGGTAGAAAAGGTGGTAATAGATAAAAATATGTTGAGGAATCAAAAATCACCGATATGTTTAGGGATCACGAAATTATGGACAGGGAAAGGGAGGTAATATTTGCTGAAAACCCAATTTATATGTATTAAATGATATCATACTTACAATATTTCAATGAGAAAGAAACTTTCAAATTGGGAAAACAGATATTTGCAGGGTTTACAGGTTAAAATAACCTGTCCATCTAACATAGTTGTCAAATAACATTTGAATAAAATTTGAATTGGTTTCCCTGACTCTAAAGCCCATTGAAGTTCTAGTATCTAGCAAGGTTTCTCTGCATTCATTCATGTCTGCATAACTGTTTCTAGGCACATGGCTACAGAAACCAGAATACGCACAGATACTTTCCCACATAAGCTGCCATTCTAGACTGCATGCTAGAAGCTAAAAGACTCCTGACTCCATCTTGTCCTCTATACTATAAATGTGGATTTCCTCACAGGCAGCTGTATGTAACCAGACCCTGTGAACTACAGTTACACCCCGGGAGTTAGCTCAGACTCATGGGAGAATCTGGCCGGCAAGAGGACTGAAATTAAATGCACATCCAGAGTGAATGGAACCCTTCTTCTTTGGAGTAAAAATATTTGGTATCTTAGATGATGACCAGCGCAGGGCAGGGAGTTGAAACAGGTGATCATCCATTCTTTGGGTATACTCAAAGTTTAGTCTTCAAGAGAAGACATGGAAAGAAAACAGCCCTAGATGTACAGTAACTTCCTGGCAACTGAGCCTTTTTGGCTATTACAGGAAGTAGAAACAGAACCTTCCAAAAGTACTACCATTCTTATCTCCCGATGTCAGAAACTGATAGTCCAGAGTGTGAAATGGGGATCCAGCGTGCATTAAAAAAAATAGGAAATGGAGTCTGCTACATGATCCCTTGAAGAGGGAGAAAAGAGGGCCAGACAGGAAGCCTGCGGCTTAAGTAATCATGGGACCCCATGGCTGTTTATCGGAGTCTGAATGTTGACATCTTGCTCATGCCAGAATCCAACTGAATACCTAAATATGAGATGTTTAGCTGTGGCATCATCTAAGTAGGCTGGGTTTATACAACACTAGAGTCAGAAAAAATATCCCATGCTGGGGTGTTTGGCTGTACAGCACAAGTGTGCATACACTATTGAAAAACAGTTTTTAATAACAGCAGTGATGACGCCCACACTTGCATATTATCAACAGCTTTTGCAAAGCCCACTTTTCTGTATCCTTTACATCACCTCCCATCCTCAGAAGGTGATATCATCCTTAGATACTAGACTAAAAATAAGTAACCAGAATTGGGGACGGGCCCTGGAGCTTGGTGTCTTGCGCATTAACCCTTTGGGGTGGGAGGTGGTTTGAGACAGGGTTTCTCTGTGTACCCTTGGCTGTCCAGGAACTAGCTCTGTAGACCAGGCCGGTCTCAAACTCACAGATATCAGCCCACCCCTGCCTCCAGAGTGGTGGATTGAAGGTATGTGCGACTATGCCTGGCTAACATTACCCTTGTATTATTGAGCTTGACAATGTTGGAAGCCCCCAGTAGTGTGACTGGATAATAAGTGACAGAACCTAGGAATTTCAACACGTCTGTGTACTACCAGTGTGGAAGTACTTTTGTGTCTAAGGAACTAGCTTGTCTGTGGGAATGCCTGCCAGCTGGAGGTCAAGACACATGCAGATGACCCAAATGGAATGTCAGAGGACATGACTACACTGCATTTTGTAACTAGTAGACATCAGATCTGGAATCCAAGGCTGTTTCCCTCCTAACTGTGTAAATGCACAGAAATGTGTGTTCCTGGTTAAGTGATACCTGGGCAGTTGCTCTTCTGGTTGTGTTTCCCTCTCCTGCTCCCGCCCCTTCTCCCTACCCTCCTATCATTCTTTCCTCCTCTACATCCTGGACTTTCTGAACCCAAGGCCTCACGCGTGCTGGGCAAGCTCTCTGCCTCTGAGCTGTCGTCTTACATCCCTGTCCTCTGTCCAGCTCCTTTGGTGCATTTTAGTGTTGTCCTTTTTTTCCATGAGCAAAATGTTGGATAACACATGAAGAACACAGAGAAGGAGACATTAGCTATTAACATTGATTGCTTATAAGCATATTAACATAAAATATTCCATATTATTTGAATATCAAACATGAATTATTACAGCATATGTTTACTGATGTATTTTTGTAATTTGATATATATGATATATAGAGATGTATTTGGGGAGAAATGAATGCTTGTGAGTAGTGTATATAGGTGTTAAGAATACGGGAGCTTGGAAAACAATCATGGTGGTACATGCCTTTAACCTCAGCACTTAGGAGAAGATTCAAGTGGATCTTTATCAGTTTGAGGGCAGCCTGGTTTATACAGTGAGTTTCAGGTGCCAAAGCTACATAGTGAGACCCTGTCTAAAGAAAGAAGGAAGGAAGGAAGGCGAGAAAGGAAGAAAGGAAACAAAGAACATGAGCTTTAGGGACATGAGCTTTTAACCACTGGCTAAGTGGTTAAAAGCGCTTGCTGCTCTTGCGGAGGTACCAAGTTCAGTTCCCAGCACCCACATCGTGCTCACTCACAACCATCGATAACTCCAGTGTCCTCATCTGAGCTCTGTAGGCACCAAGCATGTGTGAGGTGCATGTATCTCTGTGTAAGCAAAACACTCACACGCAAAGTAAAAAGGATGAATCTAAAATTTAAAAAAAAAACAAATAAAGATATTAGGTTTGAATCCCAGCCACAGTTTCCAAGGTCACTCGGTTACCTTAGTGAGGTACTTGAGCCCTTTGAGACTTAGTCCTCACTTGTAGAGTGTGGAAATTATAGCATTTATTTCACGGGATGTTTGGTAGAGAAGTCATGTCAGTAAAATGTTACCACGATGCTTGACACACAAATAGTGACCGGTAAGTGGTATGGGCCAATATTATTTATGCATAGACAAATGGAGAAATGTCTGCATGAGACCGAAGAGTCCATTTGCATGTGTCCAGCTCTGCACTGGCTGTCCTGGGGGACAGTGGGGACAGAAGCTCTCGACCCTGACCTCTACAGTCCCGCCCTCTGAGTGGCTCAACTTTCCCTGGTTCCCCTGCTCAGCATGAGGGAAAGTGACTCTTCTTACTTTTAGAAAGAATAAACGAGCCAGGCGTTGGCCTTTAATCCCAGCACTTGGGAAGCAGAAGCAGGTGGATCTCTGTGAGTTCGAGGCCAGCCTGGTCTACAGAGAGAGTTCCAGGACAGCCTTCAAATCCACAGAGAAACCCTGTCTCAAAAAACAAAACAAACAAACAAAAAAAAAACAAAAAAAAAAGAAAAAGAAAGAATAAACGTGTCTTGGGAGGAAGCTTTGGGGCGGGGTGAGCCACAGTTTGGATGGGTGCAAAGCCCTCCTCTCCTGTGTCTTGAAATGGGCATTGGGCAGTTTTGTGACTGCTGACCCTCACTCCCTGTTTCTCTAGCCTCTACCTATTATAGACTTTGGGAAGATAATCATCTACACAAACAACCTGAAAATCATCCGAACCCCAATGGACAAAAGGGACTTCATGAGGAAAATCCTCCAGAAGGAAGAGGTTGCTGAGGAAGAGGCTCTGATGAGCACAGGAGAAAGCGATGGAGACAGGGAGCAAAATGCCAGCCCCCTGCTGGAGACCGAAGGCACGTTTCTCCATAATCAGCACACACAGGTGTGTCAGCCCCGCTGTTTTACCCCCCAGGCTGGCCCTGTAGATTGCTCTGCTCCTGCAACACCTCCCTAAACACTTTTGAATAACAACATTTGCAACATATGTTCAAGATGAGGGGATTTTTAACATCCATTGGCTCGTAATGGCATATTGTTAATCCACACTTATTAAATTATATATTATATTCACGATTACAAATGCACATTTAAATATTTATAATTTTTAATGTTTTTGATGACTTCTTTTCACATCTGATTAGGAATCTATCATTTTTCTTGTTTGTTGTGGTTTATGAACACTGGGATTTAGAGACGGGAAAAAAATCAGCTCTGTTGTATTTTCTTCACTTATTTTTCGGAGACACGGTCTCCAGCTCAAGCTGGCCTCAGACTCGCTTCATAGCTGAGGATGGTCTTGAACTTCTGATCCTTCTGCCTCTACCTCCAGAGCACTGGGATTACTGATATGTGTGCCACCACACTAGGTTCATATCGTGCTGGGGATTGAACCCAGGGCCTCCTGCATGCTAAGCAAGTGCCCTACCAATTGACCTGTATCCCCAGCCGCAGCTCTGCCTTTTCTTATGGGCTCACTTGTGCCTCTGTCATTGGTGCACATCCCAGCCCACAATCAGTGAAGACACTGTAAAGTCTCAAGTTAATCTGAAGGTTACTCGAGTTGAAACTCATAGCATTTGTAAACCCACAAGCCCAGGCACCTGTGAATGGCAATATTCTGAATTCTTGCAATATACCAAAAGTGAACAATTGAGCCATATGTTGCTGTCAGCACTGACCGTCACCCTCAAGGGTCCCTTGGATGCAAAGTTTGCTTCTGTGGAACTCACTCTAGTAGCCCGTGAGTTGGACTGGAAAATGGAAGAAGGGCCTTGGGGACTTGAATGATGTCCCTGCTCTGGGAGGACAGAGGCAAAGAGAATAAGGAAGTCATAGTCAGCTCTGAGTGATGACCTTAGGCCAAGGTGCCAAGTCTCTCTACTCTCGTTTCTCTACCTTACATGGCTGCTTAACTCTCTACATTCCCTCTCAATAGCTACCTGGTGTTCCATTGCATGGGGTAAGACCAAATCTATGTGTCTTACAAAGCCCTGGGCTGCCTGGCCAACGCCAACCTCTCGGGTTTTTTCTGGTACACATTTCTGTGTCCTTGTTCCCTCTCCTCCCCCACTGCCCCCTGTCTGTCTCTCGTAGGTTCTTTCCACTCTCTTGCCAGAGGCAGATCCCCATCCTCATGCAGTGCCCCCCAGGTCTTCCATCCTCTTGCCTGTAGCCCCCAAGGTCTCAGTGGAGACTTCACCCCTCAGAGGGGTCTTTATGGCTCTCATGAGGGTGACATACTCAGAATACACCCATCAGGATGGTGTATGCCTCTTCACAGTTGCAACTTCACTTCCATTTTTATGATTATGTGGTACATTTTGCTTATAGCTACCAGGATTTGATCTCTACAAAGGCAGAAGCTGTATTCATGGTAGATGCAACATTGCAGTTTCCATGCTAAAAACAAAACAACAACAAACAAACAAACCTGGCATATAACTGATGCACAGTCAATATTGTCTGTGTGTGGAAAACATAACGGAATTTGGAACCAAGACCCATGCTTCTCGTCTTCTACGAGAACCTAGCATGCTAGCAGGTGACAGCCTGGACGTTGCAGACATCACCTTTCTCCTCTATAAATCTTTAATTCCATTATTTCTCTTATTGTGTTATAACTTGGAGGAACCGCCCCCCCCCACACACACGTAGAAGAGAGTAAGAAATAGGAAGGTCCAGGGCACTCCATAACCCTGAAAGAAAAAGTGACTGCAGGTTCCATGTGACAATTACCTTTCAATTCAGTTTGGAGGAATCCAGATCTTGTTTTTCTGAAGTACTGTAAACAAGGACAGAGTTGTGTGACAGAAGGTTGCCAGGAAGGTTACACTTCCCTTGTCTGTCCTTAAAACTCGGTTTTGAATTACTATTTCTTTGTTCAATCCCTTGTGCAATAAATGCCCTGACAAGTTTTGTTTTAAAAGAAAGGGTCAAAGAATATCAAGGAAACCCTTCTGGCTATGAGACATTTTGCTCTGCTATATCTAACTGGGAAGACAGAGTCGGATGAAACAGTAGAGCAAGGCAGAAAGACGAGCTGCCTTGAACAGCTAGCGACTCCAAAAGGAAAGGAGAAGAATAATGGAGTCGAAGCTCAGTGAGGAGGGTTCTGGCTCTGCGTTTGGTGGGGTTGCAACCGTAAACCTCTGGGCACTTTAATGCTTTGTCTGGCGACCTCATCTTTGAGATAGTAAGATTAGATAATAGCTACTGATCTCTGAAGGCTCATGAGAGCCAGCTACCATTCTAGTGGTTATCCATGCAATAGTTCATTTCATTCTCAGGAGCCGCCCCCTCCCCGGAGCATGTGTTACCAAAAGTCTTACTCTGCGGCTAGGGAAACTGAGGCTCAGAGAGGTCAAGTATCTCACTAGAGAGAGCAGTCAAATTAGGTCCCCATGCCAATGTCGTGATGACAACCGCTCTGCTCTGCAGACTCTGGCTTTGTCCTGGTCACTGTCTTCAGAACTGTGCAAACCTGTTTGTCTGCAGGGAGCACAGAAGCACGTTTTTTTCTTGGTGATAGAGTGACATAGAGTAACCAGAGCAGGACGTGGATTGAGAAGATCTATGAGGGTCTTGAGCCTAAGCTATGCTGTGCAACTATGTTTTATTCCCGGCATTAAATATTTTTAGAAGAAGTTTAAGAAGAGGATCTCTGATTCTCGTGCCTGCGCTTAGGGCTCCTTTCCTTCTGTTGGGCTGCCTTGCCCAGCGTCAATGTGATAGTTTTCATTTTATCCCATTATATTTTATTTTGTCATGTCTTAGAAACCTGTTTGTGTTGAGAGACAGAAAGGGGGTGGATCCAGAGTGGAGTGGAGGGGAGAGAGGGGAAGGGGAACCAGGAGGAGTAGAGGGAGGGGACACTGTGTAATCAGGATACATTGTATGAGGACAGAATCTATTCTCAATAAAATGAAAAAAGAAAATAAAAGAGGGTTCCTCACACATGGTTACTTTGTGTCCTGAAAGCTAGCATGTGAACAGATACTGTAGCAGGCACTGAAGTGACGGTGAGGCAGCTGGGAAGCTTCCGGCACAGGCTCAGGAAGGCTCAGTGGATCAGGAGACTGCCTGACTGGGGTGGCCCTGCATGGGGCTCCTGAAAGGGAAGAATGGGTGGGCAAGTCTGTCTGGAAGAACGGAACAGCTGACATCAGGAAACAGGTGGCAGTGGGCAGGCTGTGTAGACATGCCTCAGGACAAGAGCCTGAAGATCTGTGAAAGAAGAGAGGTTCAGATTAAAAAAAAATTAGCTCAGCCGAGGCTATACTTGCTGTGTCGTGAGTGTTTGTCAGGAGGGCAAGTGTTTGTTAAAAGGGTTTTCCGAGTTGTTCTCCCCGAGATGGTCAGGATGATGGGCAACTCAATTGGATTGACTTGAGTGAAAAAAACTTCTCACAAGTTTGGGTGAATTTGTGCCGGAGTTGGTGCACCCGGGCGAGGGCCGTGGGTGAGAGAACCGGAGATAGGTGTGAAAGGATGTCAGACACTGAACGCTGAACGTGACAGAGCTGTTAGGACGTTCACCTGACAACAGTCTGGCTTCAGCCTGCTCCTGGGGAGAATCAGCTTATAAATAGTGTGAAACTGCTGATTTCTGTGAGATGTCTCCTCCAACACATTGTCTCAAGACACAGCCGAGGGGCATTTTCCGGAGACTATTGGCTGAGAAGGAAGCTGACTTACTGGGGGCTTAGGATATGTAAGAGGAGAAGAGCTGGCATTTGCACATTACTATTCCAGGACTCAGGGGGTGGGGTTACCAGTCCTGTCTTATAGGTAGAGAGACAGAGTAGGACAGGCTGAGCCGAGGGTCCAGCTGTGCTGCCCTGGCCAAACATCAGCCTCTGTTCTAGTCTACTAACGCCACGACCATAGCTTGTCTTTTTTATTGAGAATTTCATACACACCTATAAAATGTTTTTTTTTTCTCTTGCAACAGAGTCTCACTATGTAGCTCTGGCTGGCCTCACATGCTATGTAGGCCAGGCTGGCCTGGAACTCATACAGATCTGTCTGCCTTTACCTCCCTGAGTGCTGGGAATTAAAGGTGTGTGTTACTATGCCCATCCATATGTCAAGCGCTTTGATCTAATCTACTCCCCATTCCTTACCCTTTATCAACCACTTTCCCTCGCTCCTTCACAATCTTTCTCTCTTAAAGAAAAAACACTGAATCGACTTAGTGCTACCTGGGACTACACAGGAGTAGGCTCATCTACCCGCCTTTTAAGGGCCAAATCGCTGAAGAAGACTGACTCCTCCTTCCAGCCGTTATCAGTTGCCGGTAACTTCTCACAAAGGAGTGGGACCTCAGGAGCCTTCTCCCTGCCCATCATAGACCAGGGCTTCTAATCATTGGGCCTTACACAGTTCTCAAAGAGAAAAAATACTAGAAGAACTCAGCTAATCCATTGGCTCGCCCAGCCTGCCAGCCATAGAAAACACGCCTTCTTGAGCACTGATGTTGGATGGCTGCAATGAGGGGTTGTGTGGGCAGTCAGAGGATCTTGGAGTTGGTGTTCAGTCCCAAGCGATCGGAATCTGCCTCCTCGTTTTCCAGGCTATGTGTCTCACATTGCCAGGTAGCTTCTCAACATGGCATTTTTCTACTGCACTGGGTGATGGTGTGCACTGGACCGTTGTGAGGGTGCTGTGGATGAGACGCACCTGGTTTCTCTGAGCACCTGCTGAGGTTTGTCACACGGGCTTGTTGCTCTGTCCGGCAGGGGGAAATGTCATGTCTTGCCTTTACGGAGCTTATGTCAGATGGGGACAAGGGTGATCAAGGGTGGCGGAAGATGTTGTGCTTGTGATGCTCATCTGAGAAATCCTCTCTGATGAAATTGCTGTTCTGTGCCCCGGCCATTTCCCTCATTCGAATGTATGGGAAACATTTTCTCCAATTCAGCTTCAGTCTTTGCCAAGACCTAGCACTGTTTTGATCTCTGTGGAAGCAGTGGTCTTAACCCACTGTTCTAACTGAAGAACCACTTGTCTCTTGCAGGATGGGTTGGTCCCTGAGGACAGCTGTCTCCACTGCCAGGGGTCCGGTATCGCCACCTGTTCTCTGTGCCATGGCAGCAAGTTCTCAATGCTGGCTAACAGATTCAAGGAGTCCTATCGAGCTCTCAGGTGCCCAGCCTGCAACGAGAATGGCCTGCAGCCTTGTCGAATTTGCAGCACCTAGCCCTGCTTTTATTGCGCTCTCAGATGCTACTCCTAATAAAGCAACTCTCTCCCTCCTGCTTCTCTCTGAAAGGGAGCTACTGCAGCAGCAATCACTCCTACCACTAGCAAATCTCAAGTTATTTGATGACATTTTGTGAAGCTTGTGACATCTCTACATGGGTCTAAGTAACAGGGGCATTTTTGAATTAGAATCTGCTTTGAAACTGGCTCTAAAATTACCCCTCCAGGACCACGTGCATGCATCTCCCCTGATTTAGCTCAGTCTTCCCCTTGCACCGGTGAACAAATAAATAAATGTGCACTTCAGGCAGTAGGCTGAAGTCATTTTCCAGGCTGGGAGTTATTTTGCAAAATTATGTGGTGAGAAAGGAATAAAGAAGTGGATTTTCAATGAACCAAATTCTTGTTGCTTATAATGCGCCTAAAATTGTCATTGGTCAAATTGAATTTCTAATGAAGCAGAAGAGGGATGGAAGGTACAGCCAACACGGGTGGTCCTGGCAGGCCTCTGCAAGCAAAGCGGGGTGCTCATTCCAGAGACTGGAGAGCTGAGGAGGCCCTCCTTCTGTAGCCGCTCCTATGTGGTGGAGTGCTTTGGCACCAGGGAGGCTGGTGGGGCGCACTCCCACTTGGGTGGGGATGATATACGATATTTCTGTGCTCTTCTAACTGGTGAGGTTGAGCCAAGCCAATCCTATTTATGATACATTTGGTGCTCAAGCATGTATTTGTGGTAAGCATTCTGCCAGCTCCTCAGTAAATTACCAAATACATAGGTCTATTTTAGGACTGCGATCTAGCCAGTCTCTCTTTAGAAAGGACAGCAGGTGTCCGTGCTGATCTAAGGAAACTAAAAGAAAAACCATGAGGGCTGATAGTTAGACATTGTGTTTCTACCACCCACGAGTGCACATGTGAAGGGTGACTCTTCCCTCTTGAAGATGGTAATTAAGATTTAAAACCACATTTGTCAATGAACTTTTGTAGCTTGAACACCCACTCTCTGCACTCAGTGAGAATGACACTGAAATCCGTTATCTATCAAGACTCGATGCTTATCTCTGATACTAGTTTAGACTTCATGGCTTAGTAATTCTTCAAGGTTTGTTATTCTCTTATACTCCGTTGCATCAACAGTGAGTTGCATGTGGGCAATATGAATACTTCTAACAAAAGGAGCAAGCGCCCTTTGAAGCCACGATGCTTTTGTCTGCTTTCTTGATGCTCACCTGACTCCATTGTGTCACTGTGTGACTGCGTCCTGCCTCCGTGCATGCTTCTTACAGATGTTCACATCTCTGCCTTCCCAGCGTAGCAGAAGAAGGAGTGATGTCAAGAGACTTTTAAGTACTTTTCTCTTTGATGGGAGCATTCTGCTGTAGCACAAATAATAAAAACCCAGAGGCAAATATTGGGGTTCAAGCTGAAGATCAGAGGAGCAAAGCAGCCAGCCACTAGAGAGCTCTCACCTTTACCAATGCTCAGACCGATGGGGCGATCCACCCAACCTCAGACTGCTCCTGACTGCACTGGTCCTCAGGCTCCTCCAACCTTATATTCCTGTCTAGTACTGGGATTAAAGGTGTGGGATCAAATGCTGGGATCACCTTTGTGTGGGCTCTGTTTCTCTTTTAGACTGGATCAGTTTTGGGTAATTCAGAGTGGCCTTGAACTAACAGAGATCCATCTGCCTCTGTCTCCCACGTGCTGGGACTAAAGTTTTGTGCTGTCAGTGCCTGGCCTCTATGGCTAGCTAATGTGGTTAGTTTCACACTCTGATACTCAGGCAAGCTTTATTTATTATATCACCAACAAAATATCACCACATTTTTTCAACAAGCAAGGTTTGACCTACCTTTCCATCCCTGACACGCGTGCACACGCACGCATGCGAGTGTGCACGCGCGCGTGCACACACACACACACACACACAGCAGTATCCTAGGTGCTTGAGGCCTTGTATAATCCAAAGACAGCAGGCCTTTGGTATCATGAGGATATTACAGTTTAAGTGGAGACAGAAATGCAAGAGGTAGTTAAAGTGTGGTGTGGCTTTACTTGGATGAACTAATATAGGATGGAATTAATATATTTGGAGTAAAAGAAGGATACATTATTAGTCTTAGTGTGTTTATTCTTTCTTCTGGTGTTGGGATTGAATCCAAAATCTAATACATGCTAAGCACACATTTTACCTCTGAATTATCTTTAGCTACTTCCTTGGTAAGTTTAGGGAATCTGCCCAGAGGAGAAGGTTAAAGAGTATTAGCTTGTCTTTCTTACACACACACACACACACACACACACACACACACACACACACACACACACACGCCGTTGTTATTCCCTCATCTGTCCTGAGTGCTCTTTTTTTTTTTTTTTTTAGGAGACAGGTTTTCTCTGTATTGTTTTGGAGACTGTCGGTCCAGCCCGGCTTCGAACTCACAGAGATCCGCCTGCCTCTACCTCCCGAGTGCTGGGATTAAAGGCGTGCGCCACCACCGCCCGGCGTCCTGAGTGCTCTTAAGGGTGACTAGCTTTTTAAATAATAATCACACAATAAATATGTGTATTAATGGCTACCATAATTGTGTTCATTCAGTAGGTAGGTAGTTTTATTACAATGGGAACACAACTTCTGACATCTTAATAAGGTATTAAGTATATGAAACCTTACTTCTGGACCACTATAAACTTTTGAAACTCTGAGCCAAAACCAAATTTTCTTAAAAAAAAAAACAAACCCAAAGCAAAGCAAACAAAACAAAAAACCAAAGCAAATACCCACCCAGCATCAAGGATACAGAAGTAGGCAAAAAGACAAAATTCTGGCTCCTCGGGAGCTTATATTTTGGTAAGAGAGTACAGATATCTAAGTACATATATTTATGTAATACTCGTGTGGTAGGTATATAAAATATGCTTCTGAGAATTATACATTTATACAGTACATCTATATACAGAATGGATAGTGTGCAGGGAAGGGGTAAACTTATGCTAACATAAAGCACCGCACAGGACCGAGAGCTGGAAGTGATTGTAGATGAGTGACCTTGAAAAATGTCTTCAGTAGAGGCCTAGCAGCACTGAGTCCTGCAGGTGTCTGGGGATAAGAGGAAGTCACGAAGGAGAGAGGCCAAGAAGCCAGCGTGGTTGCAGACAGTACACTGTGGGACAGATGCGGCGTGGTGGTAGGCGGGCAGCAGAGATGGTATGTGTATGATGTACGGTGTGCAAATGTGCCCTAGCGTGAGAGGTATGTGTGTTTGTGTGTTGGGTGGCGGCAGCCTTTCTCAGAAGCCGTGGTAAGAACTTGGATTACTGCGACACACTGCTGAAGCTGGGTCTCTGTGCAGCCAATGTCACATCCTCCTCTTCTATAATTTGCCCCTGACTCTGGGGACAGAGCCCTGAAAACTACACTTCCCAGACTTCTTAGCCTGATGGCAGCATAGCAAGTTCTGCTAATAAGAAGTACTGGCAGGAGGCTGCGCATTGGAGGAAGAAAGAACGCCTCCCCCCAACTCCGTCCCCCTACTCCATCCCCGACTCCCGCCCTTCTTCAAGCCAGGCTCCTGGCTTGTTTTGCTGTAGGTCTTCTGTTGTAGCAATTAGGAATCTTTGAACCAAATATCGCAATGCGTTCCCTGTTTGAGATGTCTAGAATGGGGTCTCTTCCTGGCTGGGTGACGACCGGCACGGACGTTAGAGCAGAGGAGGATCGTGACATCGAGTTTCAGCCGCTTGACTGCTGTGTTGGGAAGGGACGCAGCAGGGTAAGGGGAGAAGTGGGAGGCTGGCAGGAGATGATGATTGCCTCGATCCTGGTGGAGGCGCGTGGTAGCCAGCGCCTGTGTGGTACCACGTGGTCCAGCTATGGCCCTGTTCTGAAGGTAGAGCCCTGGGGTTTGTTTACTGCCCTTGTGTTTAGAAATCTCGTTCCGGATTCTTTGTCTCCTTACACAGATACCTGCGCCAGAATGTCCGTTTCGCACCCCGCAGGTCGGTCAGGACTGAGGACTGCTTTGGACAAGGTAGATTGGTACTCCAGGACTCGAAGAATCCCTAGAGTTTGAAACAAGTGTGAAAATTCTCAAACATTATCTCGACGGTGCTGTGATTGCTATGGCGCCGTGTCCTCTGAAAGTACAGGATGTGTTTTAAACGAACAAGTGATTTAAAAACACAACGTTTCATAGTGACTGTAAGCCCAGCAGTGAGGAGGTGGAGGCAGGAGAATGCTGAGTTTGAAATCAGCCTGGGTTATACAGTGAGATCCTGTCTCACAAACGAAATAAAAAACAAACCACCACAACAAAAAACAAAACAAAACACAACCAATCAACCAACCAAGCAAACAAACAAACAAAAAGCCAAACCAAACTGAAAAATCCAGAAGTAACAGTTGTTTTCACATTGGGTTTCCATTATGGCCCAGGCATGTGCACTCCCCTTAGGGAATATGTGTGAAAAAGAATTAATGTTTATCGCTAATTACAGCACCGGGCCTCTAAATCAAGGTAATAAGTGGACTTAACTTTACAATCTGGTTTTAGCACCATTGCTATCTACTTATTCACTTCGGTGCCTTTCACTTTCCCTGTCTGGCCAGGTTACATTCGTTTATTTCATTTAACAAATGCTTATCAGCCTTAATGGGCACAAGACCTACTACATTCTTTTCCCTTCCCAGTTCCTTCCACCATCTTCATAACAAAGTCCATTTACTATTGTCCTCTATTCCCACCCCCATCTCCCTGGTGGTTTGAATGAAAATGTTCCCTATATGGTCTGGCATTTGAATGCCTGGTCCTCAGTTGGCAGCCTTGCTGGAGGATGTATGCCCCTGGGGTGACTCTGAGGTTTCTCTGCCTTCCCACTTGAGTTCGCCCCTGTCCTCATGCTCATCCCTTTGGGCTGTCCATCATGGCACACCTAGACTTCACACACAGGATGGTCAGCATCCTAGACTAAACTACACACCTAGACTTCATAGACAGGATGGTCAGCATCCTAGACTAGACTAGACACCTAGACTTCATAGACAGGATGGTCAGCATCCTAGACTAGACTAGACACCTAGACTTCACACACAGGATGGTCAGCATCATAGACTAGATTACACACCTAGACTTCACACACAGGATGGTCAGCATCCTAGACTAGACTAGACACCTAGACTTTACACTCAGGATGGTCAGCATCCTAGACTAGACTAGATTACACACCTAGACTTCACACACAGGATGGTCAGCATCCTAGACTAAACTACACACCTAGACTTCATAGACAGGATGATCAGCATCCTAAACTAGACTAGACACCTAGACTTCACACACAGGATGGTCAGCATCCTAGACTAGACTAGATTACACACC